CTGCGACCCTGCGAGGGTCTCCGCGACCCAGAGCCCGAGGGCGGCCGGAGGGCAGGCCGGCCGTCCGGGAGCGGCCGAGCAAAGGAGAGCCTTCCTCCGGGGTCGCGCCGGCCACGTCGCCTGTCGCCCCGGGCTTGGCGGCTGCAGCCTGCGGGAGGGGACTTAGCGCGCGCGGGTGAGGGGGAGGACTGCCCCTCCAGGGACCCCAGGCTTGGGCGCGGGACCGAGAGGACTCGCTCGCCCCCTGCGCCCGGGTGTGAGGCCCGGGGATCCCCGGGTAGAGGGTGCGAGGCGAGTGCGGCTGCCCAGCCAGGACCCGGAGAGCGGGGCTGGCTAGGTCTTGTGATCCGTCAGCCATTCTCACGGCTGTAGGGGCTTCGTCACCAAAATCCTCTTCCGTGCTGCGACCTGACGGGGGCGGGGGCGACGTGCCGAGTTGTCCTCCGGCCACACTGCGCGGCGCCCCGGCTCCCCGGCTCCCAGCGCCGCGCACACGCCAGGCCCTCCGGAGCCTCCGGCCGAATGAATGACTGGCGCGGACTCCGAGGGTAGGGTCGGCAGTGCGCGCGGGTTGGCTCCTTCGCGAGTGTTTACGGAAGGCCCGCGGGGGGCCCAGGGTGGCCAGGGCGACCGAGACGACCGTGCCGTGCCTGCCCACAGCCATGCAGACTGCGAAGGGAATGGTCAGGTGACACGAGGAATGGAAAGCACTGCTTGGATTTGCCACCTACAAGGCTTGTGGTCACCTCAAGGAGAGCCATTTTAATGGGTCAGGAGCCAGCCTGGCCAGCCCAGGAGTGACTGGAAAGTGAGAAAATAAGGAAGGGCAGAGATGGCTGGCGAGTAGAGCAGACTCTTAAGCCTGTTTTTTCTTTTTCCAGGCTTCTTTTTGTAAGATGATAGAGATGATCATGAGTCTATGCCAGCCTGGTACTTTAGTAGTATAAGGGGAGCCACATACGTAACTTTAAATTCTCTAGTAGTCACCTTTAAAAAGTAATTAGCCAGGTGCAATGTTACATGTGCCTGTAGTCCCAGCTTCATTGGAAGCTGAGGCAGGAGGATCTTGAGCTCAGGAGTTTGAGACTGTCCAGACCCTGTCTTTTAAACGTATGTTTAAAAAGTAAAAAGAAATAGAAAAAATTAATTTTAATGATATGTTTTACCTCAATATATGCAAAATATTACTTCAGCATATATTCAACCAAAACAATTATTAATGAGATTTTACATTTTTTCACACGAAATGTTCAAAATCTCAATCAAACTAACTACATGTCAGGTGCTCAGTGGGTACACATGGCTAGTGGTTCCTGTATTGAGCAGTGCAAGTCCATGTTGTGGGGTAGAATCAGGAGAGATTGACATATGGGTAATTAAGAAACAATGTGCCCACACAGGTAGAAGGGGTTGGCATTCAGAGAATAAGTGGAAATATTAGACTTTTTTTTTTTTTTTTTTTTGAGTTGGAGTTTCACTCCGTCGCCCAGACAGGTCCCGGCCACCGCAGCCTCCACCCACTGGGCTCTGGCGATCCTTCCACCTCAGCCTTCCGAGTAGCCGGAATTACAGGCGCATGCTACCACGCCTGGCTGATTTTTGATTTATTGTAGAGATGAGGTCTCACTGCCCAGGCGGGTCTCAATCCCGCGGGCTCAGGCAGTCCACTCACCTCAGCCTCCCAAAGGTGCGGGATTAGAGGCTGAGCCATCGAGCCTGGCAGATTAGATATTATTAATAGGATGACATTTTTTTACCTTGGAAAGGAAAGAAGAAAGCATGGATTAAGTAACTGATAAGTTCAAAGTGGGAAGGAGTATGAAGAAAAAAGAAAGTTGAGAGAGGTTAGGTGTAAGGAATTTTCTTCTCAAAGAAGAAGGCCATGTCATCTCCTAAGAGTGAAGAGGCTGTGGCAGGTAAGCGTCTCACTACTCAAGGTGTGCTCCCTGAATCAGCATCGCCTGGGAACTTGTTAAAAACACAGAATCTCAAATTTTCCTTTCAGAAATACTGAATCAAAATCTGTATTTGTTTATTTTTGAGTTGGAGTCTCACTCCTTCGCCCAGGCTGGAGTGCAGTGGCATGCATGTTCACGGCCACCCCAGCGTCGACCTTCTGGGCTCCAGTGATCCTTCCGCCTCAGCCTTCCACATAGGTGGCACTACAGGTGCACACTACCACGCCCAGCTATTTTTTATTTTATTGTAGAGATGAGGTCTCACCAGGTTGCCTGGACTGTTCTCGAACTTGCAGGCTCAGGCAATCCACTCGCCTTGGTCTCCTGAAGTGCTGGGATTACAGGCTGAGCCACTGAGCCCAGCCCCAAATCTGTATTTTAACAAGATCTCCAGGTAATTATTACACACACTGAGAATCACTGTACTAAATGTCTAAAGAGTCTGATGAGGGCTTGTAGTAGCTAGCCACTTGATGGAATAGGAGAAGAAGCATGGAGGGCACCAGGCAGTGTTGAGGTCCTCACTTAGCTTAGAGACTGTTGGTGTGTGGTGACAGCAGTTTGCTTGATTGTGTGATTTCCTCTAGTTGGGCTTACCAGCCTTCTTACAGGAACGGAGAATGAGAATGATTGATTGAAGGCTAGAGGTTAGCTAAACAGGTAAGGCAGAAAGACATGAATGAAGGGGGTTTGAAAATGGCTGAAATGGGGCCGGGCCTGCTGACTCATGCCTATAATCCCAGCACTTTGAGTTCAAGACCAGTCTGGGCAACTTGGCGAGACCTCTTCTCTACAATAAATCAAAAAAATTAGCTGGGCATGGTGGCACGTCCCTGTAGTTCCAGCTACTTGAAAGGCTGAGGTAGAAGAATCATTCACCTGTTCCAGAAGGTCAAGGCTGCAGTGGGTGTGAGCATGCCACTGCACTCTAATCTGGGTGAGAGTGAGACTCTGACTCAAAAAAGAAAGAAAGTGGCTGAAATGATCAGTCAGAAAGGGAAGCATAGCGGGAACAGACAGATAAACCAGGGGCAAATAGAATGGTCAAAGGATTGAGTTTTCCTTTTTTTTTTTTTTGTTCCAGGGTCTCACTGTATCACCCAAACTGGAGTGCTCACCGTACCCTCAAACCCCTGGGCTCAAGCGTTTGCCTGTCTTAGCTTCCTGAGTAGCTAGGAATAGAGGCAGGTGCCACCACACCCAGCTATTTTTTTTTCAGTCAGAATCTCAGTCTGTCATCTAGGCTGGAGTGCAGTGGCACGATCACAGCCATCTCAGCCTCAACCTGCGAGACTCAGGCAATCCTGCCTCTGCCTTCAGTCGCTAGAGCTACAGGCATGCACCGCCATGCCTGGATTTTTAAAATTTTTTTATGGTAGAGATGAAGTTTTGCCAAGTTGCCCAGGCTGGTCTTGAACCCGTGGGCTCAGGCATTCCTCTCACAAGTGCTGAGATTACAGGTGTGAGCCACTGCTCCCCGCCTAATTTTTTATTTTTGTAGAGACAAGTTCTCACTCTATTTTTCAGGCTGGTCTTAAGGCTCAAGTGATCCTCCCTCCTTGGCCTCCCAAAGTACTAGGATTACAGGTATGAGCCCCTGCATCTGGCCAGAACTGGAGCTTTTAGTGGACTTGCAGACCAGGTGAAATGATAAGGTAGCGAGTGAGCTGGAAAGATAAGAGGCTGTGGCCACAGAGTGATTTATCAAGTTCATGGAGTTAGAAGGCTTTCTAGAGGTCATCCTAGTTTAACCTCCCATTTGTTGTATGAATTTCTTCCTTTTATCCCACTCTTTGTTTCAAAGCATGTTATTTTGGAACAGCCTGCTATTTTCTTGGAAAGATTTAGTTTAAAAATTATTTATTTGTGGGCCATGATGGTACATACCTATAGTTTCAGCTACCCACGAGGCTAAGGCAGGAGGATCACTTGCTCCCAGGAGTTCTGGACAGCACAGCAAGACCCCATTTCTAAAAATATATATATTATTTATTATAGATCAAAGTTTATATGCTTGAAATTTCCATATGTTGGTTCTAGTTCTGCCTTCTGGAGTAACAGAGTATAAGATTAAACAAGACTGTTCTGCCTTTTGTTTAATAACCTTCAAATATTTGAGAACAGCTGTTATGTTTACTCCAGACTTAAGACTCTTAGCTTATTCAGTCATTACTAAATGGTATGGTTGTGATTTGTAACAGGGCAGTTGACAAGGCCAGAGTGTATGGCTATAAGGGATTTATGAGAGAGCAGTGAGCTCAGTGAAACCTGGAAAGGATCCTTGCACACATATGCCTTTTCCAGAGTTAGAGGATACAGCGGCAACCTGAGCTGAGTCTTGTATTGGAGGACATGTACCAGACTGATTTTTTTTTTTTTTTTTGAGTTGGAGTCTCACTCTGTCGCCCAGACTGGAGTGCAGTGGCATGCTCCCGGCCACCGCAGCCTTGACCTGCTCCGCTCTGGCGATCCTTCCGCCTCAGCCTTCCAAGTAGCTGGAACTACAGGCGCGCGCTACCACACCCGGCTAATTTTTTGATTTATTGTAGAGATGAGGTCTCACCAAATTGTCCAGGCGGGTCTCGAACCCACGGGCTCAGGCAATCCACTCACCTCAGCCTCCCAAGGTGCGGGATTACAGACTGAGCCACCGAGCCCGGCTCAGACTGGTTCTTAAAGAGCCAATTTCATTCATTCAGTATCTTGCTGAATCTATCCCCGAACAGTCAAAGCAGTTTTCTTGGCTATTAATGCCGGTGAGGTCCAGCAAGATGAGGCATGTGCAGGCAGTACTAAAACTATGTTAGATTAAGCTCAGCTGGACAGTTAAGCAGTCCTTATCTGATTTTAGTTTGGAGTTAGGGTTCCTTCTAATGCTCAATGTCTTGTTCCATCTCTCCACTGTACACAGACTTCTGAATGGGACTCCGAGTGCCTTACATCCCTGCAGCCCCTTCCCCTTCCTACAGCCCCAGCAGCAAATGAAGCACACTTGCAGACAGCAGCCATCTCCTTGTGGACAGTGGTGGCCGCTGTGCAGGCTATAGAGAGGAAAGTGGAGGTCCACAGCCGGCGACTTCTACACCTAGAAGGTCGGACAGGGACAGCAGAGAAGAAACTAGCCAGCTGTGAAAAGACAGTGACTGAGCTTGGAAACCAGCTGGATGGCAAGTGGGCTGTGCTGGGAACCCTGCTGCAGGAGTATGGGCTGCTGCAAAGGCGTCTGGAGAACTTGGAGAACCTGCTAAGAAACAGGAACTTCTGGATCCTACGGCTCCCTCCAGGTATTAAGGGAGATATCCCAAAGGTAATACTTTCACTTCTAGATGTAAAATGTTACCACTAGAACTTATACTAGTAGTGAGGGACAGTCTTGGTCAGTTACTTAGATATTTTTATTTCCTTTTAAAAGTTCTTAAAATGTCTTATACTAAAGAAGCCATAAAGATATTTTATGTTTATCTCTTTGGGAAGCATTTTATGTTCAATTCAGTGCCCATTTAGTGTCAGGCTTCAGATTGGAAAGCTCTTTCCAGACCAAAGTAGGCTATGTGATAGATGGGTTTTTCTCTTTTGCTTTCTCCTACTAACTACCTAGGAGTCACTTCTTTCTTTGTTAACTTGTCTTCCAGAATTTTGGAGGGGAAACTAAATATCATTTAAATTAGTTGATTTAAATTTTTTGGCAATTGTGGTGAAAAAGTTGGAGGAGTAGGTAAGAGATGTATAGTTGAATGATTAATAAAAGGCTTGGGATTTTCCGTGTATCTAAGATTGAGGTAAATACTCTACTTCAGCATCCATAACAGAAGAAGTGTGCTGGAATACTAAGGCTCCTCATCCTTCTGGAGGACATAGCACATGAAAACAAAAGGAAATAAACATTGTTCTAAAGAAGTAGAAGATAACCTTGAGGCAGCTGATTTCCAAGCAAACTTGTTTATTTACTTATCAGTTCGTTCAACAAATATTTCTTGACTATTTACTATGTGCTTGATCAGTGTCTTGACAGCATAGCAGGAAGCAATTCACTTAACTCCTCTGGAGCTTAAATTTTTGTGGAGAAAGAAAGATAATAACATACACATACACATGCATTTAAATGCTTTGATAAAAATAAAGTACCATCTGGTGATCTGTTTTCAATTGTCAGAGAAGCTTTCATAAAGGAGCTAATGTTTAAGCCGAAACTGAAAGATGGGGAAGGACCCAAATGTGAGAAGATTTGAGGAAGAGTTCCAGGCAGAAAGAATAGCTAGAGTAAAGTCCCAGAGACACAAACAGATTTGAAACACTGAGGAAAAGGAAAAATGCCAATTAGTTGGTATGCATGAATGAATAAGAACATGCTTGGATAAATGGATAGAGGGTCATATCATTTAGGGCAGAATTTTTCAGCCTGGCTGTACATAAGAATTACCTGGTGGGCTTTTAGTATTTTGATGGCATCACATCTAGAGATTCTGACTTACTAGGTCCAAGATGGAGCCTAAGCACGAATAATTTTTAAAGCTCCAAAAATAACTCTAATATATGACTAGGATTGTGAGCCACTGTTACAGGGCTTTTAAAACCAAAGAAAGGAATTTGGATTTTTTAAAATTTTATTTTTGAGTTGGGATCTCACTCTGTCACCCAGGCTAGAGTGCAGTGGCACAGTCATGGCTCACCATAGCCTCGACCTCCTGGGCTCAGGTGATCCTTCCACCTCAGCCTCCAAGTATCTGGAAATACAGGCACATGCCACCATGCCTGGCTAATTTTTTTATTTTTTATAGGGACAGCGTCTCGCTGTATTGCCCAGGCTGATCTCAAACTCCTGAGCTCAAGCAATTTTCCCACCTCAGCCTCCTAAAGTGATGGGATTACAGGCATGAGCCACTGCGCTTGATTGGATTTGGATTTTTAACTTAAGTGTAATGAGAAGAAGTTGGAAGATTTTAAGCAGAGGTTAAGCATTTGATTTTATATTTTGGAAATAATCACTTTGGCTGTTTTGTGGAGAATGGATCATGGGGCGAGAACAGAAGCAGGGAGAAAGCAGTAAGGCTGCTATAATAGTAGGAGGGATGAGAGTAGCTTGGATGAGGGTAGCAGTAGTGGAGATGGAGAGAAATGGACAGATGCAGGATGTTTTGAACGTAGAAATTACTGTAGGACTACTGATGGGGATCAGGAAATACGGAATTAGGAACAACAGTAATTGTAAATTTACTGTGTGCTGTTAGTTAGAACTTACTCTTCTAAGTGTTTTATTTATTTTAAGGCATATAATTCTTAATAAGAATCCTAACTTGCCTACAATTATATAGGTATTTAATATAAATAGCAGTTGGGTTTTAACCCAGTTGGTTCCTGAGTATATGCTCTTAACCACCCTAAGTTTACTTACTGTTAAACTTTTGGCTTGAAGAACTGGATAGATGGTATTCACATTTCCTGGAGGAGAATACCTTGGGGAAATGTGCCACTGGTGGTTGGAGAGAATTAGGAGTTCTTTGGCAGTGTTATGTTTGAGATGCCTGTGATACATTCAGGAAAGATTTTAAGTGAACTCTGGAACTCAAGGGAGAGGGAAATATTTGGGAGTTGTTGTAGAGATAGTATTATACGTTATGGTACTAAAAGTGATTATCTTGGGAAAGAAAGTGAATAAGCAAGAGAAATAGTCCAAGAACTGAGCTCAGGAGTAGGAGGAGCCAACAGAGGAGACGAAGAAGGAGAGGCCTGTGAGGTAGGGAAACAAACAAAGAAGAAAGTATGTAGTGTCACGGGCTCAAGGAGAAAAAAAGCATTTCAAGAAGAGAGTTGTCATTTTGAGTTGAATATGTTACTGAGAAGTCTAGAAAGTGAATATGATTTGGCAACATAGATGTCACTGATGACCTTGACAAGAATTATTTGGAGTGGTGGGGATAGAAGACTGAATGGAACAGGTTGAAGAGTGAAAGGGGAGAGAAAATGGAGAGATAAACCACTCTTTCAGGTTTTTCTGTGAAGCAGGGGAGCAGAGGGTGAGGAAGTACCTGGGAGGAATACTGGAGTCAGTTTCTGATAGAGTACCTTCTCTACAGTGTGTTTCGTTTGTGTATCTGGAGTCCCTCCAGAAGTCCTTAGGATAATTTAAATGTAGTATTGGTTGTCAGAATATCAGTAAAGGAAAGCTAAAGTCTTATCTGTATAAGTGGTTAACACTTAAACTGTCCATCTTAGACTCAAATCATATACAAATAACGTGATTTCTCTTAAATATTTCTTTTTTTAATTTAAATTTTATCTTATTTTTTTGTTTTTTTGTTTTTTGGTGTTTTTTTTTTGAGTTGGAGTCTCACTCTGTCACCCAGACTGGAGTGCAGCGGCCGCTCCCGGCCACCGCAACCTCGACCTTCTGGGCTCCAGCGATCCTTCTGCCTCAGCCTTCCAAGGAGCTGGAACTACAGGCATGCGCTACCACGCCTGGCTAATTTTTGATTTATTGTAGAGATGAGGTCTCGCCAAGTTGCCCAGGCGTGTCTTGAACCCGTGGGCTCAGGCAATCCACTCACCTCAGCCTCTCAAAAGCATGGGATTACAGGCTGAGCCACCGAGCCCGGCTTAAATTTTATTTTTTTATAGAGATGAAATCTTGCTGTGTTCCCCAGGTTGGTCATGAACTGATTTCTTTTTTTTGTTTTGTTTTTAGTTGGAGTTTGCTGTGTCTCCCAGGCGGAAATGGCAGTGGCACAATCATGGCTCGCCCCAACCTTGACCTCCTGGGCTCAGGCAATCCTTCTGCCTCAGCCTCCTGAGTAGCCAAGACTGGTGCATACCGCACACTGGCTAATTTTTTTTATTTTTCTGTAGAGACAGAGGCTTGCTATGTGACCTAGGCTGGCCTCTACCTCCTGGGCTCAAGTAATCCTCCTGCCTCAGTCTCCAAAACTACTGGGTTTACAGGTGTGAGCTGCCACATTTGGCCTTAAGATTTCTTAATGAAGTTAAAATGCATATGATTCCAGTTAAAGTGTTTTGAAGATTTACTCAGTTGAAATATAGGAAATAAGCTAGGTGTGGTGGCTCATGCCTGTAATCCCAACACTTTGGGAGGTGAAGGTAAGAGGATTGAGCCCAGGGGTTCGAGACCAGCCTGGGCAACATGGCAAGACTTCGTCTCTACAATAAATAAAAAAATTAGCCGGGTATGATGGTGCTTGCCTGTAGTTCCAGCTACTTGGAAGGCTGAAGCAGAAGGATCGCCTGAACCCAGCAGTTCGAGGCTGCAGTGGCTGTGAGCATGCCACTGTACTCTAGCTTGGGCAACAGAGTGAGACTCTGATTAGAGAAAAAAGAAATATAGAAAATAGCCCGGCACGGTACCTCATGCCTATAATCCCAGCAGTTTGGGAGGCTGAGGTGGGAGACTCACTCGAGCTCAGGTGTTTGAGACCAGCCTAGGCAACATAGTGAGACTTTGTTTTTATAAAAAAACTTTAAAAATAGCAGGTGTGGTGGTACACAGCTGTAGTCCCAGCTACTTGGTAGGCTATGATGGAAGAATCATCTGGGCCCAAAAGGTGGAGGCTGTGGTGTGCTGTGATTATGCCACTGCATTCTAGCCTGGGCAACAAAGTGAGGACTTGACTCAAAAATATACATATGGGAAATAAACTTTTGTGACCTTTCCTTGCCCTTATATTTGAATGCCAGGTACCAGGTCCAAAATAATTTTCCCCCAAAATTTTAATTTTTAATTTTTTAATGTGAAATATATACAGCGTGACATTTATTATTTTAATCAATTAAAAATATATAATGCAGTGGTATTAAGTACACTCACATTGTTATGCAGTCATGACCCCCATTCATCTCTAGAGCTTTTTCATCTTGTCAGACTGAAACTCTGTACCTGTTAAATAACAACTCCCCATTCTCCCTCCCCTTATCCCCTGCTAATCTCCATTCTTCTTTCTCTTCTTATGAATTTGACTACTCTAAGTACCTCATATAAGTGAAATCTTACAATATTTGTCTTTCTGTGAACAGTTTATTTCACTTAGCATAATGTTTTCAAGGCTCATCCATGTTGCAGCATATGTCAGAATTTCCTTCCTTTTTAAGGCTGAATAATATTTCATTTCCCTCAGAATTTTAAGATCTTTGGTCCTTTTTCTCATAATATCAAAAACCATTGATGAAAAGCTTAATACCAAATCTGTTCTTATTTGTTAGTATTTTTTCCTCTCTCTCTGGAAGCTTTTATGCCTGTTTCTCTAAAATGTATTGAGGGTGTGCTTGGGTGCAGGTGTTTTCAAACTTGTGCTGGGCACT